ATCAGAAACGGCAAGAAACCACAATTTAAACAGATTGCCGAGTAGCTCAGAATTACTCAGTCCACCCCTCAGCGGCCCGCTCCTCTGAGCTAGAAATGTGACAGTGGTTGACATGAGAAAGATTAAAATTCTTATCACTGGGTGGTGGGATTTGAAGTCATTCCCTGTGACAAACTGAAGTTTTAGAATTTTAACTTTCCAAGTCCCACGGCGGATTAGTTAGAACTTGAGTTTTTAACCCTCCCAGGACATGCGCCGGAGCTGCCAACAGACAAGGGCAGGGTCCCCGGGCCCCTGGGGAGGCGCGGGCACACACAGAGCATGTGCTCATTGTAAACCTACAGATCGGGACCACAGCCAACTGCGCATCTCCTCCTGTAGAACTGGTCTCCCAGGAATAACTCGAACAAATGTGTTTTTATATTGTGAAATTTAACTTGGCAAAGTTGCATAAGCAAAGCACAGCAAAGAATTTCTGCGTAGCATCTACAAATGCCCTGAGGGACGTCCTTCTTCCCGACCACTCGTTACAGATGGTGCGTCTGCACCGTGTTGGTCTCGAAATGAACTTGGCACGTGACTGAGGAAAACGATTTATCCATGATGCACTGGAGCATGGAAACACCTTCCAGGGCGTTGTCCTTTGGTCAAACGCAGTAGGGTAGAGAGAAGGGGCTACAACACGTACTTTTACAGACGAGGAGACACAACACTTCGGGGTGACAATGAGTCGGTGCCAACCCTCCCGGCGAACCACATTGGGCTGGTGCCGAAGGGCCGCAGTGCGCGTGCTGGGGGTCGCTGGCCAGCTCTGGGGTTGATCCGCTTGCGTTCAGGGCTGGACTTCCTCCGTAAGGTGCAGTCTTAGAGCTAAGTTACTGAAACTCTCTGCAGTTTTCTCTCGTGTACAATGGGATTATAACAATAACAACCACCACCACCACAAGTCTTGTCATTATTCATCAGAGTTGCTAAAATGTCTGAGAGAATATTTACATGTAAAACACCCACACGGGACTGAGCGTGTAATTCTTCATATGTTGTCTAGTTAGCCAACTGTACTCTTAAAATGATAAAATATGGCAGAAAGAAAAGCAAGACAGATATATCTAGGTATCTAACAATTCGTCAGTTATTCTTTTTATTTTTTTGATTTGGCATTTTTAATTTTAATTGCTGTTATTCTTTTCAAAGGTCTTTTTTTCTGTAATGTTTTCTTTTCTTTCCTTGGTCCAATCTCATTGAATTTAACTAAACACACTGCTGTCCAAGAATTCCACTGAAAGTCCAATTTTTTTAAAGATTTTATTTGTTTATTTTTAGAGAGGGAAGGGAAGGAGAAAGAGAAACATCAATGTGCGGTTGCTGGGGGCCGTGGCCTGCAACCCAGGCATGTGCCCTGACTGGGAATCGAACCTGCGACACTTTGGTTTGCAGCCCCGAGCTCAATCCACTGAGCTACGCCAGCCAGGGGTAAAGTCCAGTTTTTAAGACATACTTTGCTAAGAGACATGCAAGTATCCTCCTTTGAATACAGTGTGAACCCCTTTGGGTCGCACGCCAGGGGCTCCTGAAGGGTAACGTCAGCCTGCTCTTCCAACTACATTCACTGTTTCTTCCTCCGTCGGCCCCTCGGCTCCAGCCAACTCCAGCGCACGGCCCTCCCGCTCCAGTCTCCCCGGGGGGAAACCTCGCACTGTCCAGCGATGGCCTCCAGCCTTCGGGACCTGCTCAGGAAGGACAGCTATACCACTAAACCTCTCTTGATCCCCTCGAGAATGTATTTTATGCCCGCATTTATGCTACTGACTTCTATGTTAGAAAGCATGACCTGTATACTTGTCTCCTGACAGCGGACTATATTTTATCTTCCATACAAAATTAGAAGAAATGAATGAGCTTTTCGAGATGGCAAACTTAGCCGATGGCTTTGGGCTTCATGGGCCTTACCTAGCGCTTCTGAGTGCCGTTCCTCTACAGGGCCCACGACCCCGGCCCCTCTAGGCTGCCGCCGCTTGGTCTCATGCCCAGAGCACTTACAAAGAAGCCTCATCCACAGACTGTGCAGGCTCAGAAAGGTTGGCTGTGTTCATATCAAACTTACCTCCTGAGAAAGTGAATGAAGAGTACACATTTTATCATGCAATAACATAAGAATGTTTTCTTTTAAGTAAGGCACACATGACATCTTCTGGTCACTGTTACGTCTGTGCCTATATCTGTGACTATTAGGAGGAGGACAAAACAAATAACTCTCCAAAGAGTGAGGCCAACGTCAAACGTGCCTCAGGGTCGGGACAGAGAGTAGGAGTCAAAACCAAGCAAGAGCATCTGGCTGCGATTATCACTCATGGATAGAAAGAAGTGGTTTAGCTCTGTGATCACACAGGAGCAGCAGTGAGAACATTCAGGAAACCACCCCTGGTTGCTGACAGGAGTCTGAGGCAGGTCGGGTCTATTACTCACACTTCTGAGGAATCAGAGACAGACTCAGACGGCTCTTGCTTCTTCAGCAGCACACGAGGCAGTGCAGAACCAGAGCCCAGGACACAACGTCAGACGCTCGGAGCGTCACCTGGGTTTGCGTTGGTTACCCTGCTTGATTCATCTGAATAATGTTATTCAGTGAAGGAAATCCATAATGCAACTTCAGTTCATTAATAAAATTAATCAGGGTAGTTCTATATTAACAAAGAGCCTCAGATTTACTGAAAAACGACTAGAATAAGGCACACATCTCTGGCTATTTTCACAATATATTTTGCTACTTTATTCAACCTTTCAGAGGGGCGTGAGAAATAGCAATTAAGTGGATGAGAGATGAATAATTAATTTAAGTCTTCTTTCATTTTTTTGACTGCTGAACAATTTCTTGGCGGGGACTTCTGTGTCGTGAAACAGCCAGGACCGGGCACAGGGAGGGAGTGTCAGCTCACAGGCCGGCTCCAGCCAGGTCGCCCCTACCTGGCACCTACTGTTCAGATCATATACATTTAGGATTCAGGTAATTTTAAAGATTTTGTATATTAAACTTACCCCCCCACGGAGTTGGATTGTGACAGAATTTTCATCACTGAAATATACCAATTTCCTAATAAGATAGAATGGTCTTGTTTATTTTATCACCAGAACATCAAGGAATTACTTGCTGTTACTTTAAGAAAGATAACAGAGATCAGTATCACATTGTGCAATTTATTATGATGCTCTGGGGTCGAGAAAAATCCACTCATGGAATTTTTTTAAAAAGCTATCCAATTTGAGGAAAACCCAAATTCCTAAGGGAAAAAAAATGTAGGAAAATCGGACGCAATAGCTTAAGCGAATATTCAGGTAATCTCAAAGATCTAATTGTATTAAACAGCAAGAAAGACAGTCTGCAGAGTCAGGCCCACTGACATAACTTTAGTAGAAAAAAAAAGAACGTGACAGAAAAGCTAGCATCTGCCCAATGGGGATTGTTCTTTAAAAGTCCAAGGCCACTGACCTGCAATTAGGTTCATAGCCACGTTTTGATAATCCAATCAAAGGGAAGTTCATTATGGCAAGTCAAACACTACATGTCTGTTTTGCAATGTGATGCATCAAACAGCATGTGTATAAAATCAGGTACAGAAAAATCATGTTTCCAAGTCAGCACACCCGTCTGAATTAGCCACCAAAAAGCGCTGGGACAGAAGCAGAACACTCACTGGTATTTCACGTAATGCTATACCTCCCGGATTTGGGAAGTACTTCAAACGTAGAGAGATAAAGTGAAAGCGGCTATTTTCAAATTAACTAACACAGGGTGTAATTACATTACTGAAAACATGGAATTAGTAACACACTTGTGTAAGTGCTATTGGCAGTCACTTTATCAAAAATATAATTATTTCTTAAAATAACGTGATTTGAAACAGGTGGAAACATCTCAAAAGGCTTGAAAGATCTCCTTTCTTACCTACCTGCATCCGCCCAAGCGAATGAAAACGAGAGGCTGATACTCAGGTGGTATGGTCTCAGAGAGTCGGTAAGCAGGAATCTTTAATACACAGATCGATTTCAGTACTGGCTTTCACAAAGCCTCCTATCAGAACCATCCCCCATCGCCCCCACCCAAGGTCCAGCGTCTAGAGCCACGCCAGGGCCAGCGGACCACCTCCAGGACCCTGTCTCAGCACTGCCCTGCTGTCTTTTCTGATTGGTCAATGCTCCATGGCAAATAGTTTTGAGTCTCATCACTCAAGGGGCCTGTTCATTGTTTGAAATAGCTTTGTATCTCCAAGGAGTTGTTGTGTATTCAATACATGCAAGCAACCCGTTTTTACCATTCCAGGCAGTGTAGCTGGGTGTTCGCTTGTCTGTGTCAGGTCTCCGATGGTGGCTTTCTGGCGGAAACATCCTTCCAGTGTCGAACCAGCAGAGCAGAAGAAGCCGGTGCATTTGGGAAGACCCAGAGGGCCTGGGGCCGCTCCCGGACGGGTGAGTGTGAGGGTGAGGGTCCACCTAATGCATTTTCCTGCCTTTTCACTGTTGTCAAGGGTCTTGGCATGTGTATCATGCTTTCCTGGGATTTTTTGTTCCAAGTGTAAAGGGCCCTACGAAAATTTCTAAATAAAGCAATACAAAATATGGCTAATCACTTCAAAAAATAATCTCTGCAGGCATATACTTTGAACTGAAGGGCATAAAAGTAGTCTTGATAATAAATAAATCACTCAAGTCAACGAAAAAGTCTAAATTTTAACATAAGCAACGTGCATAAAAATATGTAGCAAAATGAAAAATATCTTTATTATTACATTGAATTTTTTTTTAAATTTACCAGCTTATGAAATCCATAAGAGTGACTATTTCTGGAGATCCATACTTTTTCAATATGGACTATTCAGAGTTGTCAGGATAATTTTTAAACTTTTCTGTCACTAACGTTTTCTTTTCTTTTCCATCTATTTGCCTTTGTGACATATAAAAAATTGAATTCCTAACAGGGACACATGCAGAGGACTCGTCTGGTGGGTGCGGTCTGCTGGAGGTGCCGGGTCTGGCCTGTGACAAACTGTCTGCTTCGCTGTCCGCGGGACAGAATTCTGTAGGACTCGGGGGTTTGAGACATGTTTGTAGGCAGATTTAGAGTAATTCTGGCTGTTAGAACTGACTTTCTGAGGATGCACGTTCCATATTGCGAAAGCGCCCAGTCACTAATTCAAACCTGACCGAGCATGCATATGACGCAACAGCAACTGCGTGTATGATATGATTTTATTTTATTTACATTTAAACACATCCCATCATATGTGTGCCTTAGTATAAAAACAACTCAGAATGGTATAATTTGGGTCATAAAATGGCCTGACGTTTTTTAAAGCATTTAAAAAAGACTTCCCTCTTCTAAAAGGAACCCGCGCCCGTAGAACACAGGGGGCGCAAGCCACCGCGGGGACGGGCCCCCGGCAGCCTACGGCGTGGGGGGAGTCGATAGAAAGTGGGTACGTCCGTTTTTCATCATTCTGATAAAAGAAAACATTTCTCTTAACTCCAGGTAGGAAATTATTATACATTTTTATATATCTTCTGTATATAAAAAAGTGACAGGTAGCAAGCAGATGGCACAAAGAAATGGAAGAGACAGCAGTACTGGAGAATGCATGCTTTTTACAATGTGCCCGGGAGAGAGAGCGTGTCTTTCCAACCGCAATATCCAGAGCTGACATGCAGGGTGTTTTCTGTAACTGCCGGTTCCGTCGTATTGCTAGGTGCTTCATCAAAACACATCGTTACCGAAGGGTGCGAATGGTAGAATGCCCGGTTTCAAAACCGATTTCTGAAACTGGGTATTTTCCTTTGATATTTTTTTTTAAAAAAGGAATTTGGGGGTACAGAAAAAAAAAGACCAAAGCATGAGATTTTTCTTATTGCCATCTAGTAACTGTACTCGTGACTTTTGGCTGCATCGAACCGTAACACAACAGACGTTCCGGTCAGTCCGCAAGGCCTCCGGCGGGCGTGGCCACGGTCTGTGTTTCCACGTTTCCACGTTTCCCGGGAGCGTGCTCCAAGTCCCGCAGGAACGCACTGCGCCCCGGCCGTCTACACAATGGAAACAACGCACAGGTAACACAGAGCTCGACCCCAGGCGGGTTCGTTCACAAGTCACACAAGGCACAGTCATCGCACAGAGACGCGCAGCGACACGGAAACGAAGCGGAAGGGAGAGGAAAGAGAGAGCTGGGGAGGTCTGAGTCGGGAGCTAGCTGCTTCTTCAAGTTTCCGGTGCATCTCAAACATGTTTAAATACTAAGGAGCACTTGGTGGCCAGCAACCCAATTACGAAATGGACACGTCACTGTGCAGCGCGGGGGCGTCTTGCTGAAGGAATAACAAATGTCTGGAATTCTTAAGTTTGGATAAAGGCAGTGGAATGGATTTAGAAATACGTCCACTTTTCACAATTCACTACAGACAGAATTTCCTTTGCACAGTCCCCATGTTTGTATAAACAGTTCTTCTCTGAAAATAAAACACAGTTAAAACAATTTTCTCCCAGTGAAAAACGCACACAAATACACCAACTTATCAAGGCAATCTAGAGCGTGGAAAGGTATTCACCAAATTCAAAAATAGCTGAGAGTTCTGAAGAGTTCTTAAGAGATTAGCTGTCAATTCCATCGGAGGCAAATTAGTCTAATATGGATGTAGACCATGAAGTGCCAAAAGCAAAGCACCGCGATCCTCAACGACCAATCAGATGCACACAGAGACAGCTGATACTGACGAAACGCTTTACATCATCAAGCATTCAACATAACATGCTGCATTGAATTTTGATGAAATAAGCTATATATTCATGCAAAAACACAAGTGCACAAATCGTGTAAGTACCACGAAGTTCTTAGTGTACAAGTTTGGAATCAAATATAGCCAAATTAAATGGATAAAATTGTTATCAGTTTTATAGATTGATTTTGGTGATAATCGAGGCAATACTCAAATCTTTAATTATGAAAACCTTGGGTTTCTTCTGGCATTTCTCAGAGGAGGTCATGAATTTTTGCATCATAACCCCAGAACATGTAACACTGATCTTAATCGAACACCCTTTCCATAGCATTGCAGCCCAATGCTTGATGGTGAGCATACTGATATTCGTTTTAGGGATACATGTACTAAGAACCATCCTTCCATCAGCATTGAACCCATTCTGTTTCTATGAGAGAAACAATGAACAAGGAGCCCATTCCCTGAGACACTACGGAACAGCTGCGACAAAACACAACATGACAACAGAGTACACGAAGTGGGAGAAGGGGCCAAGGGCATCCGCTTACCTTGCGCTTTCTCTCTAGACCCTAGTTGTGTTGTATTCAGATTCATGTTTGCTTAGAGACCCAATGAGGCAGAACCTGGAACGTGATGTCTATTTCATTCAACAAAGTACTGTTTGCACGGAAAAATACATATGCACACCAATATCTACTTAAAGGCATTCCCGAAATTTCGTACAACTATGGGAGTAGGTCTTGGCCATCAGCATGCAAAAGTATTAAACCAACTAAAATAGTTAAGGTTTTGAAAATGCATGGTGGATTGGGGAAGTATGTACATTTATAAATCAAACCAAACACCGGTAAACATGCAAAACAAAACATATGTAGATGGGATTTGGGGATTTAAAATAATTTTTTCCCTAAATTTAGATTTTCTTTCCCCCAAAGCTTTATTAATTTTAGGGCTAATGATACAACACAGATCATACTGTCTTTATAGTAAAAGGAAAATGAAATGTTTCTACTAATCTTAGCTACATTTACATATCTATATTGGAGGATTTTAGCATACCATGCTATCCTATACAATTTGTAATATAAGTATTATGTAATGTGTAGGAAAGAGTGTTTTCCTTTTCATACCCAAAATATAATACATTGTATTGCAAAATACGCTATTTCTGCATTAAAATTATTCAACAAGATGGGTTCCCCATCTTGGTAAGGCAATGATTTCCAAATATCATTTCATATACTAAAAAATATAAATATCAATCGGGGCGACATTGGTGACCACGCGGAGGCAAATGAGCAATGTAAGTGTGCAGGATACATCACAACCCAATGACTGTAGCAGTGAGTGTCATATATGTGTAGACATAAGTAACGTATCTTTGGTCTGTATGTTCTCACACATATACTCATGAACAGATGTGGGGTTTGGGGGCATATGGCTGTCAGTGGAAAGCAAAATTAAAAAAAAAACGAGGAACAAGTGGAGACACGGGTGTAAATCATTAATCAAAAGAGAAACAGAGAAACGAAGACAACCAGCCCACTCAACACTCTGGCAGCCTTTCGGTCCTCGGGGTCGTAGCTGTCACCGAGAACCTATGATACTGACCGCTGCACGGCGTTCTCGTGGCGCGCCAGCCGGTGGCTCGTGGTGGGCACCTCCTCGATCTCGTCGATGTCGCACGCGTCCGCGGCGTCCGTGGGGTAGCTGTGTTTCATGACCAGGATGTTCCTGCGGCTGGCGGGCGGGGCCAGGGGCTTGGCGGGCGGGGCGGGCAGCTCGGCCAGGACAGACGCGTCTCTTGTGCTGAGGTTGCTGCGGCTGCCTTTGGCGCTGGACAGCTGGGATCCACAGTGGTGGTCGTAGACGCACTTGGATGAGGACCTCCGCAGTTTGTGGTAGTTGTCGAAGTCGTCGGCCACGTCGGCAAAGTCTGCCGTGGCCCCTGCCCCTCTGAGAGTGCACAGCTCGTAATGAGGGGACTCAAACACCTCCTGGAAAACTGTCTGGTCAAAGTCTGACTTCCTGTGCACATACTTTTTACGAGGCTGTTTGATCTGCACAATGACAGAAATGATAATGAGGATGATGACAATGCAGGAAGTCACGCCAATGACAGTCCCACTGGTGTTGGTCAGCTGGTCCAGCAGGCTGGCTTTCCTCTTCTCTACGGGTGGGGGGAGGGGGGAGGACACAGAAAACAAGACACACCCACCGCGCGTTAATACGGGAGTCAGAGCGGGCACCGAGACCTGACGCTGAAGTAGGCTGAGTGTGGGGGTTTTAAAGACTGGCCGGGTTTGGAGGGCCCTGGCCGGGTGGCTCAGCTGGTTGGAGCGTGGTCCCCATACACAGAGGTCGAGGGTTCAGTCCCCCGTCAGGGCACATACAAGGGTCAACCAATGGACGCACAAATCAGTGGAACGGCAAATCGATGTTTCCCTCTCACTCTCTCTTCCCCTCTCTCTCCCTAAAATCAAAAAATAATCATGACAAAAGTATTTAAAGTAACGTAAACCTTCACAAGGACCCTGTGTCCCAGGCTCAGGGGCAGCCCTCCCAGTGCCCAGCTGCCCTGCTTTAAATGCGAATGTATGTTTGGAGGAGGTCTCTGAGACTTCCTGGGTGACATTTGAGAATGATTGCTTAATTTGAGACTGTTGTTGTTTTTTGTTTTTTTTCTCAAAGGTTGAGAAAACCTCCACACTCAACCCTTGGACCCGTGGCTGCATCCATAGTTTTGTGAGTTTATGTCTGACATGGATAACCGAAGTCAAGGTATTAACAATAATCTGACCCCGAGAGGTCATTGAACCCCAAGACAGACACTTCTGGAACGGTGGCAAGAAGGCGCCCGTGGGCCACTGCCCCAGTGAAACAACCCTACCTGGTGAAAACGACGTTTAAAGCCCAGCCGTGTGGAGCCTGAGCACTGGCCCCAAGGGCACACAGCACCCGGAGGCAGGCTCCGCCCGGAACACCTCGCAGCTCCCCTAGGTCAGCGGGAGCCCGGGGCTCTGAGCTCCCGCGGCACCCAGGACACCCCGAACAAAGCCATCCTGCTCAGGGAGGCTTGGACGACAGCACAGGGCCCTCTCCCTCCAGCTCCCAGCCGGAGTGACAGCACCTCCCCTGGACAGCCAGGCCGCCAGTACGGCCAGCACGGCTCCCCCACCTGCACGAGGATGCTCCGCCCAAGCAGGGCCACCCGGAGCGTGGGGGCTCCGCTCCAGGTGCAGAGGTGGAGAAGGTGGGGACCCGGTTCACCCCCCGCCGGCAGGTGGGGGCAGAGGCAGGGAGCCGGGGACCAGCTGGGGAGGCCAGCTGAGAAGCCCAGGTGTTACCACCCTGCCCAGGGCCTGTTCCTCAGAAGGACAGGTGGTCGCTGGCCCTGCCCCGGCGCGGGACCAGAGTGGGCGGTGCTGGAGCCTTGGAAATGGCCCAAGTCTTCGCACAACAGTTGGGCAAGCATCTACTCCAAAGTGGCTCCTCCGACAGGAAACGGTCGTCGCCACCTCCCACCTTGCAGAAGTGGACGTGGGTTCCGCCTCTCTCACTGACCGCCCGAACCCGGCCGCTGTGGGCTGGGGCCGGCTCCTACCCGCTTCAGTACAGGAGGCCGGACTTGGGGCACAGAAGTGTGACCTGCCTGACCTGCCCTTCGCACACCGGGTCCTGCCGAATCGGAACAAAGGGGCACTCGTGAGGGCCCCTGAGAGTCCCCTGGGCCTGGGTGCGTGAGAACGCCCTGGCCACAGCCCCCAAAAGGGCAGGGAACACGGCTTCCTGGTTGGCTCGGCAGCACCCACGGCGTAATGACCGTGAAGGCCGCCCGGCTCTCTGGGGCCGAGGCTGTCTGAGACATGTAACAGTGGCGGGGGTGTCCTGGCCGCCTCCGGGCAGGCGGACCATGCCCGGGTCGAGGACTCGTCTTTACCTTTGCAGTGGTTCTCGTCCCAAGGATACACACAGTTCTGGAGGCCGTTGCAGACCAGGGAGCTGTTGATGCACATGTTGCTGTGGCAGAAGAAGGTGCTGCCCTCACAGGGGGCTGGAAGCAAGCAGAGGGAGACAGGGGAGCTGCGACCGGCGCCCAGCGCAAATCGCTCCGCCCGCGCGCCCGCGAGCAAAGGGTCGCCGTGACCACTGGCCGGCAGCTCGAGACCCACGGCCGGCCTTCCATGCTCGGAAGTGCCGCCGGGGTGGGAATTATGTCTCGTGTGGCGAGCAGAGCTGGCGTCCCCCTAGAGCTGCTCAGCTGATAAAACGGGCGGGGGAATGTCCATGGTGAAAATGAAGTCCGCTGGCATGCAGTTCTTCTGTTTTTTTCCTAACTCGGTGCACTCCTTTAGCAAAACCGAAGTGCCCACCTCGTACATTACGTTTCACGTTCTACCTGTATGACCTTAGCTGCACTGAGCCAAAGGGCATCACTGAAATACTGAAATAACTTTGAAAAGTGTATGTTTAAAAACACTAATGAAAAAGTTTGGTCTTAGACCAAACCCTGTAATACTATTTAAGCATTTGAAAAAAAAAAACCCAAAGGGGCTTATGCGAATTCAGAACAGGAGAAAACTCGTCCTGATCAGCCCAAGAAAAAGGTGGGTTACCCCCATCGACTTTCAACATATACAGATAGAGGCAGAGGCAGAGGCGGAGATACATGTGACATGAGTCTACACGGCACGGATTTCACACACGCTAGTAACTCTGGTCCACGATTCCCAGGTCACAGCGTGCAACTCCAACAAGATGCACATGAACGTGAGAAATTGGGCTGCATAAACAAGATGAATGGTGAAGGGCTTAGTGTAGGAAAGAAAACGTTAGACCTGACACCAACCCTAGGAGAAACGCATTCGTTTCGTTGCCAGAGCACCGGGGTTCTTAGAAGAACCCGTTGCCCGGGCAGCACCGCATTAGGGATTCCGGTGTAGAGGCAGCGCTTGGAAGCTAACTTTGGTTTTGGCCTTTGTGATTGCCCGCAGGCCTGGTACAATGTAATCTTAGGGTTCATTGTTTTCAATAATGTTTCTGTGGCCCTTGCAAGACTAGGCATTCTAGAAATACGAGATACAACACCTATCTGACACAAACACATAACTTAAGAGTGGTCAATCAATCAGCAAAGCTGTATTAACGATCAGTATTATCCAAACACTTGAGTCACGGTACAGTGAATTTTCCACCTTCACACTACATATTGCAGATATTTTAGAAAGTTGCCATGTTTAAATGTACGCTGACTTCTGAACTGCACGGGGCCAAATATACATGCTCTTTTTTCAATAACTACTGTAAATGTATTTTCCCATGATTTTTTAACGTTTTCCTTTCTCTAGCTTACTTTATGAGAGGAACAGAGTATATAGTGCATACAGCACAAAAAGGTGTGTTCATCACTGTTCATGATTTCAGTGGGGCTCCCGGCTGAGGGCAATTAAGCCTGGGGGAGGTGAACGGGGTGGGGGGGGGGCACACACCCCGTCTTCTACTTACTACATAAATCAAAATTCTCAGGAAAATACCTTGCATAATGCAAATTAGTATATTGTAGCACCCTTAGAGGAGTCCTTAAAAGAGAAATAAAACCCAAACACTCAAGTCTTGAAAAATCAAAGAGTAAAGCAAAGACCTGGCCAGCAAACTGAACCCAGGCCCTCTCCCCTGCCCCTTCCCGGAAGAACAAAGTTTCTTCTTCCTCCCTACCTGGTTGGACTTTAGGGCCCTGGTTAAAGAGTAAAAAGACGTAACCGTCATTGTGCAAAAGAAAAAAGGATTAAAGAGTAGAGAATGTTCAATAGTCGTCTGGAAACGTTTGCTGCTTAGCATTTTATTGAGCAAGCGGATCATTAGCCTTTTACGATGTAAAATTCCATGACCCAGGATATCACTGCCCAGATCTGCTTGTTCCTAAGAAACTGCAGTTGAATTTCTGTAGTCAGCCACACTGACTACCGCAGAGCTGGCGCGGTCTGTTTAGTGGGGGGTGCGTGTTGTCAGAATGTGCCCAAGTTTGCTGCATCGGATCGACTGGGGTGGCTGCGAAACGCTTAGTAAAAATATGTACAAGACACATTACCTAATACGTTGTGGTCGCTTTGAGAGTACAGTTATCCGCCAAGTAAAGAACACCTTTAAAAGAGCATAAATACTTATTGGCCTTCCAGAATGAGTTGGACACATTATTATAATTGGTACTAAACAGAACGGGTTGGTTTATAAACATGAATACATAAAGATGACTTTTCGTTCTGCAATTGAGCGAAATACAATCGTGTGTTGGTAAGGGTACTGAGATTTGAATTCCAGATTCTCCAAGTGTGACTTCGTTCCAGACTGTTCTGTAGTTGTGACAATGTCTCACAAACGGCCAGTGTCCCGCATCGGTTCCTAAGTGGTGGTGGTCAGATGGGAAGGCGGCAGGTGAGCTGGGACTGTGGACAAGGGACATCCTGACCCGCCTCCTTAGCCCCAGGGACCACGCAGGTGTGCCGGTCCACTGGGGCCATCCCAGGCACCATTCCACCCTTTCCTCCCTACCTTTGCTAACCTGTTTCGAACTGCTGTGCAAACAACAGTAAAACCACAAACGAGCAAATCTTGCCCAGGCTGAGACACAAACGTGCGACGATTTACGCTCCTTGAACAAAAGCCAATTTCGTTTCACAGACACCAGAAAGAAAACCTACTGGACTCTGAATGTTCCTGCTTCTGCCTGAATGTTTACCTCCTATGAATCCAGATAGGCAATGGATTATGAAAGAGTCTCGTTTCTATCTTGTGCTAAAAAAAAAACAAGGCGTCCCGGCTCCCCAAGCAAGCCGTGTTCTCATTGGTCCAGCCGGGAGGTCGGTGCCCACGCCCCTCGGCCAGCACCCTCGTGGAGGCTCCCCGCCCACACGGTTCCTGTCCTCCGTCTGTCCCGGAACGCCCTTCCGCACTCGGCTACCCAGGCCTGTCAGACCTCTGCCACCAACACGGCTTTGACATATTCCAGTCTAACAGAAAATCATCTTCCCCTCCAACCCTCTGTAATTTTTCAAAGTGTTCAACACTTAATACATGCTCACCATCTTCCTCACAAGTTCTCTGAGGCTAGAGGCATGATGTTTTAAAATTTGCATTTTTAAGCCCTGGCTGGCGTAGCTCAGTGGATTGAGTGTGGGCTGCGAACCAAAGTGTCGCAGGTTCGATTCCCAGTCAGGGCACATGCCTGGGTTGCAGGCCATGACCCCCAGCAACCGCACATTGATGTTTCTCTCTCTCTCTCTCTTTCTCCCTCCCTTCCCTCTCTAAAAGAAATAAATAAAATCTTAAAAAAAAAATAAAATTTGCATTTTTAAAAACTGTTGCATGGCTTCACATTTTCAGGCTTGCTGTGACTGTTCACTGATCGTTTGCACTGATGAATAACACGGAGAAGAGTTAAACTCCGCCCCGCTGCACACCTGAGTATCCCGGAGCGCTGAACACCCTGACTGGTGTGATCCGGGGGGAGAGGGGACCTTCATGGCCCTGGTTTCCAAACACAACGCCAACCGAGATCTTCTCGGAAGCCACACTGCAGCCTCGTGTCTCTCTTCTCTCACTGCTGCTGGAAAGCACGTGCTCTACCATTTTGCCGAGGACGAATTCGACTTAGAAATTCAGGATGCAGAGGTCAAAAGCTATTGCCTCTTTAGAACCAGCCCCCTTATTTCCTAAGGTTACATGGGAGAAACGAGAAGTTAAGGTTTACCTGCAATAAAATGGCAGCCAGGTCTACCAGTAACGCAAAGAGAGCAATCCTCAAAATTCAGAGTAACACACACAGGCAGTTTCCATGATCATTGCTTTCTCTAGGATTTTTTTTCTTTTTTTTTAATTCTCACATGTTCCCACTCTTACCACGAGGTGGCAGCATGCACCATGTTTTGGGGAAATAGTGGTTCACTCTTCACTCCATCAGGATGATTAAACCATAAATGCATATAAACAACGTTCATATCTCTATATTCCTGATTCTTAAGAACTAAGAACTTTAGCAGGAGATAACCAAAGGAATTTTGAGCATATCTGAATTAGGTTAGGGAGCACAAGAGTAAGAAAGGCAGCCGCAACACTCAACACAAAGAAGTTTTATTTAAAACTTCAGTAAAGTATCACACAACCTATATGCTATGATGTTAGAGGTTTAATTGTGATGTATCATCGCTTTTGAGCATCATGTCATGTGGTTATAAGTGTTCCAATTGTGTAAGTACAATAAAAGGCTTTTGATTTATAATTGTCATTTTAATGCTAAAGGTGCTAATGCTCATTCTATTCATCATTTTCCTCTCTCCATTTCATTTTAAATCCAGCAATCTATTAAATTCTATCCAGAAAATATTAAAACGAAATGAAAATAAAATGGCAGATTTATCTCTGAGATATTGATTGTTGAAATTCCTGTGCTCTGTGGTTAATAAAACTGTCATTGGTAGATTAGCTCAAAGCCAAAGAACAGAGTCTTCACCAGGAAAATTTGGAAGTAGAAGTGACGCCTGAGCCTGTTTTCCTTTAAAAATCGGTGCATCATCTAAACACCAGCTGAGGGCTTTGCCTGCAGCCCCCCAGCCCATCCCGAATCTCCTCTCTACACACTTTCTCCTTGCCTCTCGCTTTCCTTAAAACCTTCTCTTTTAACTTCTTCAACTCAGATTTGTGAAAAGTTCACCCTTAGCCCTGGCTGGCATAGCTCAGTGGATTGAGCGCAGGCTGCAAACCAAAGTGTCGCAGGTTCGATTCCCAGTCAGGGCACATGCCTAGGTTGCAGGCCATGGGCCCCAGCAACCGCACATTGATGTCTGTCTGTCTGTGTCTGTCTCTCTCTCTCTCCCTTCCCTCTCTAAAAATAAATAAAATCTAAAAAAAAAAAAAAAGTTCACCCTTGTCTGTGCTGACCTGTGTGTATACAACTTTTCATACAATCCACACTCACATACGTGTGTGTAAATGCACACAAGACTCACACATACTCACAAACATGTGTATAATGCACACAAGGCCCACACACTCATATAC